AAAAAAAAAAAACAAGGCTTTTTGTATCTTTGAGAGCTCAAGAAACTGTGGGCCCTTCTCTCTTCCGGTATTAGATAGTTGATTGAACTACAGTTCGTCCATGGTTTTTCAATGGCAATGGCGGTCAATACCGTCGTCTCTTATACCATTGGATTCTATGGAGGAAAAAACAAAAGAGAAGACGACAAGTCATCCAAAACCATAACCAAGTAATTAGAAATATTATTCGCAGAAGTTAAGGAGACGGCGTTGTGAAATCTTTGTTGGTGTGGAATTCTATAATATGCCAAAATTATTTATTAAAATTCTAAAATGATATTAAAGTTGTAAATATATTAAACAGAAACACATAAATCTGTTTACGTTATTAAGGGCAAAACCGTAACATACAAAAACAAACAATAACATGTGCAACCGTAATATATAAATTGACTCGTTTACAGGTCGGAAACGAAGACTGAATTTTATATAGATCAAAACAAGTGTTTGATACTATGTTCTTAAGATAAATTTTGCCCCTGTACTGGTGGTTATGAAAATCTCAACGTGTGTCCCATAGGATACACTGATCTTCACGCAATCAGAAATAACACTCAAATCTAATTGCTCAGCCAATGTGAGATTAGTGTTATATCCTATATTATCCAAACAATATTTCCTTATTTAAAATGGTCACTTTGAAACTCATTTTTTCATTCACTTCTTACTCAATTTGAACAAGTAAATATTCTACGTTATTCTTTTCATAAAATAGAACATGAATTTATGAAAATTTACTCAAAACGATGAATGAGTCTCACCTTAATTGATACTAAACAAAAAAAATTCAATTTTTATGGGTAAAAAATTGCTTTGGTCCAACAAGCTTAACACATTAGTTTCTAATCCACTGATTAATTATGTGGTACATGAAACCATGAAAGCAACGTTCATGGGTTGGTGGGTATGCCTTGAAAAAGTAGTTCTTTTCACGTTGGACCATCTTTGAATTCATCCATCAATCTTTTGTGTTGGGTACTACCTTTATTTTGTGTGGTCTCTCTGTTTTACTTGCATAAATGTTTGAAGTCAAGAAGGGCGACAAATGATTATGGAATAAAAAAAAAATGATTATGGCATATGTTCACACCATTTGATACAAATCCGAATCCGAAAAGATTAGTATCTCGGAGTCTCAAATTTTATTTTGATTAGAGAGTTTTAATATACCTGATGAGCAGAATTTTTTTAAGTTGTTGTACATATTTGAAATTTGTGATAAAATCGCGAGTGGAAAAAAATGCGTAGTCCAAATAACTTTTCGTCATTAAAAAAAATGGAAGAAGTCTCTATCGTGGGAATTCAAATATTTGTGAATACAATTCAACATTGCTGTGTATAGATGACTATCAAAATTGGGGTAAGCGAGTTCGAGATCAAAATGTTTAAATCTCCTCCAATACATTTTCATTCAATTTTCCATAATAGTATCACCCACTATATATTAGACTGTTTTCTTTGAGATACGGTAGGTGATATATTATTGGAAAATTATAAAAAAAGAAGGTATTGGACGAGATCTGAATCCTAAAAAACATGTTAAAAGCTCATACAAAAAGATGTGATTTCTATACTAAATAATCAATGGTGGAAAAATGCTGAACCGCATTGGCCACAACGAGGCGTAGCCACAGCTCAAAACTCTTGGCCTATATGGATAATACGTGTCGGGTGATAGTTGATTGAATTGTCACTGAGCCAAGTCATCAACCACCCTTCTCACTGCTTCCTGGAAGGCAGACTCGTCCCATTCACCACACTGTAGGAAAAAAACAAAGAAAAGTAAATTAAACAAGAACCAAACACTACTACTCTTACTCTCTTTCCTCCTACTTTCTTCCGACAACTGGAAGCTAAATTAGGCCAAAAGTGATCATTAATTGAATCTAGTCCCTCATGAAATTGACAACTTTTTTTCCTAAGTTACATGTCATCCCATGTAATCCATAAAAGGAGCAACACCTACCAACATTGATGAGTCCAATGTTTTGGTTTGATTTTGTATGGATCTCTTTGTTTTTCATGGGTGGGTGGGTGGAAAGGAGGTTGCACACAGGTTAGCTTTGAGCTTGGATCCTCCATACTATATTTTTTGACCCTTTTCGATTTCTTCCAATATTAGACTATCTATCTTCTGTAAATCTCAATCGAATATACTATATTCTATCTGTATTTATGGTATATCATCTAGTTTTTAGGCAAGACGTGCCTTTGTGGGGGGTGGGGAGGACACTCTATTGAGGGGTGAGGGGCGAGGGGCGAAGGGTTATGGTTCAAACAGAAGTTGAAAATAAGGTTTCTAAAAACTCTCTAGGCCATAATTATGCTCCGTCAGTTGAAGGAGAAATATAATATAGAGTGAACAACATTTCTCTCAGCTATTTTTATGATACCAATTTAGCATAAGATTCGTCAATCAAAAAATGGTTAGAAATCTATAGTTTCCATTTCTAGATTGAGAAAATGGTGTTAGAAATCGGGAATGATATAGGAGGAAGAAAACTAGTTTCTCTTCTACTTACCCAGAAAACTACTTTCTCTACTACTTATCATACTAAGCTTATTATCTCATGTTAGTATATATAGAATGCATGCAAAACCTCTCTACTAATAGACATCTTCAGGTACTACTTCAAACAACCCAATTCATATCTCCATGGATTATGCTTAACATATACACATATATAGGGTTGGGTAATCACAAATGGGAACCCTAAATTAAATAGGAAAATGTATAAAAACTATCAGAATATACCATGAATAGATTTATTATTGGAAAAAAAAGAGATTTAGTGATATCTGAATAGTCTTAGATGATAATGTTTTACCTCTATAAATAAGTTTGAGTTCAATTAATCCGTTGTCAAATTACGAAAGAATAGTACATCAATACAATATTTTGATTCATAATTATACATACATAATATCGAACCACGTATAAACATACCTCAATCTTCAATCTCAGAACCACCCGATTCACTGGACTTGATTCAACCATCTGGGTGTTGGCTTCTACAGAAATCAAGCTCACATTCTTAACCCCTTTCAAGAACTCCAAGATCCGTATAACTAAATCCACCATACTGCTTTCTCCTCTTGCAGTCACTTGCAAGTCCACCATTCTCGTTTCTGACGAAGACGTTGATTCAGCCACATTTGTAATCTGAACACCCAACCTCTCAGCTAATGAGCCACTAGTTTCTCCGGTTACTTCTCTCCGTGGCAGCACAGCTGCCTCCAAAATCTGGTTTCTCTGGCTAAGTTCTGCAACTTGAGCTTTCAAGGAACCCAAATACTCCGTTGTGCTAGCAAGCACAGACGCTTTATCCTTCTACATATATATACAATCCACGTTTGATTAGAAAGATTGATTTAGTAACTTAATGTGTTGTTGCAGAAAGAAGAGAGAAAATTAAAAACCAAAAAGAGAATTGTGGGATTGAACTGAAAGTGCAATCCCACATTAAGAAAACAAAATAGAGTACATATAAAATCAGGCTTACAATTCAGATTGGATTAGTAAGGTGGATTACGGAACTAGAATTTTTCAATGTGCAACCAAAACCTTATTAATAAGGATTGGGTGTGTGTTGGTGACTAGCTAGATGTGTTGTTACAAAGAGAAAAGAGAGAATTGAAGATGAAGAGAGAGTGTGAGATTGATTCCTATAAAGAAAATTTTAAGTTCTAATTAATTTTGTTATCCTCCAGAAAAAGTTTTCGGTACGTACGTTCATTAATAGCAAAGAGAGAATATTTTAGAAGACGTACATATATCATACCTTAGATCCTGGAGGAAGTAGTGATCTCAATGTTTGAAAGCTTTCATTAAGTTTCTCTCTCCTCTTTCTCTCAGATATCATATGGTGCAACTGGGTGCTTGTTGGTCGGGTTCCCTGGGTTTGTCCTTGGCGTCGCATTAAATTTAAGTTTCTGAAGAATGTCATTGCTCGTTTCAACATATTCTGTCTTCGGATTCTGGCCGTTGCCGGAATTGTGGGAGCTAAAGCTGATCTATAGCTCTTGAATGCAGTACCCTTCTGGTTTATTTGGTAATTGGGAGGTAAATTTTGTTGGGGCTGATGAGATGAAGAGGAAGAAGAAGGAGAAGGAGAAGTAGAAGACGATAAAACCGCGAGTATGGCCTTTGTCATTGCAGCATCTTCGATCTCTATTGAGGGAAATTGAGTGGCTCGGATTTGACTTAAGGATTGAATTGCTTCGTGTAGTGGGCTACTCGTGGTTGACACTAATCCTAACGTTTGCTCCACCTGGGATTGGTGGAGTGGGAGTGTCGTGGTTGATAATGGTCTCACTGCCTGCTCAGTAGGTGCTTCTTTGGGGGGTTCTGGAATGTAGGAACTGCTTGGAATGCTGAAGAAGAGAGGCGAGTATTCTGTGCTGTCCAGAGAGAGGGATAACAAAGACGATGAAGATGAAGAAGGCCGATCCTGATCAGTTGGCTGGGGAAGTTCTCTGGGCTGCTGTTGTCGAGAGAAATCTTCAGGGAAATAGTTTCTCATTTCCGTTTCCAAGTTGATCTGAAAAACCCAATTGATCATTTAGCACAACAACAAGCTAGGATACAGTAAATACTAACTAGTACTACATACATTCAACCTAAAATATTTAGTTAATAAGGACACACCCAAATGGGTTTTCTTAGGTTTAGTTTACTTTATACATGAAAACAACCTTTTTGCATATTAGCTTTAACAACATAATGGCTTTAAGAATGTGAACATGAATTTCTTACTTGGGTGTCAGTAGACATGCCTAGCTCAATCTCTCCGACATTGCACCCCATAAATATTGCAGTCTGCAATTAAAAATAAAAATTCAAGCAATATTCATGATCATTATGCTGTAGATTTAAGATTGTAGTTGAACAAACCTTAATCCTAGCTTCCTGTAGAAAAAAAACATAGAAAGTTAGAAATTCATTTTTTACTAATAAGAAAAATGAAAATGTGTCATTGATATTAAATCTGAATGATTACCTGGTAGAATTGCAATTGAGTTCCTGAGGATGCCAGACTTTGAAGGTATGGCTCCTTCAGCTCAATGTAAGGAAGCTTGTTTATAAAAGCATGTCCTGGAACATGGCTGAAACACAAGAAATTAATTAAGAGAAAGACCTTAAATCTATCAAATTTTTATATACACACACACAAATATCTATGCATATATGTATGTATATAGTTATGATTAGTATACCTATCATTAACACTGAAAAAAGATTGTCTATACTCATCAAAGAGCCTCCGAGCATGACTTCCAGATGATGAGCTGGGTTGGATGTTTTCTTCACGGAAGAGGCCATCCTTGAAGTACAAAAAACTGCGAAAATTGTGAAATCAGGAAGCAAATACACAGCATACATAGAAGCATATATTTGGGTATGTGTAGAGAGAGAGAGAGAGAGAGAGAGATTTCTTACTTAGATGGTTGGGGTAAGTATGACCAAAGGCAAATATAGGTGCAGCCAAAGGTCTGCATTATGTGTTGAAGAAAGGCTGTACGGTCACCATCGTTAAGGAGGAAAATGGAGTCCATGAGAACTAAGTTTTCGGCATGAGTTTTGAGAGCCCTTTGAATCTCTATATCATTCTCTTTCTTTGCTCATATAGAATTTCTTCTGCCTTTTCTTTCTGGAGCTAATTGTCATTCTTGCTCTTGTGAAGAGAGAAATGAGAGAGAGAGAGAGAGAGAGAGAGATTTGAAAAGTAGCAAGAGGAAGAAGAAGTTCCCACAACTGTTTATTGGAAAAAATATACAGAGGCCCCACTTGGGGATTGAGAGAGAGAGAATCAGAACTTCAAACTTGAAAAGTAGTAAAGCATGGGAAGAATATGTTTTTCAAATTCATACGAAGAGAATGTAAATATGTTTGGAAAGAAGAAAACAGGAATTGAAAAGTATAGAGAGAGAAAGAGAGAGAGAGAGAGACAGCAGCCATGAACCAGCGAAGAGGTTAGAAAAGTAATGGTCAAAGTCCAACCTCGCGAGGGTTTGAATTGAGTCAAGGGAGGAAGCCAAAGTTTAGTTTTGTTATATTCTAGTTCAATATATATACTTCTACCTTGCCCTCCAATTTTTTATTTTTTAAAACTGCCCCTTTCACTTGTGTGAAAACAAAGATTAAAAAAAACTAGTGTGAACATAAGTTTTGATTATATAGTCTTATGTTCATTAAGGTTTCATTTGCTTTCTTTTTCATTTTGCATTATAAAATGTGCAACATTAGATCTGCTCTTCTGTCCAGCTTTCTTGGATTAGAGTATTTGACTAGAGCTGTTCAAAATGATACTAATCCATCTAGATGATTGAGATTTACCCTCCTTAAAAAACCACCACCTTCAATTTTTATGTTTTCTTTTTTTAGAACTTTACTAGTACTACAAAAAAAATTTGGTACCATACCTCTAAAGTTTACTATTTGAAAGAGTGTTTTTATAACTTATGCGGGTCATTTTACAATTAAGGAATTTATTATTTTTGTGACTATCTTTACCACCATTCATTGTTGTAATAATTATTTTTATAACTTTTCTTTGGTACAAATTTTTTTTTTTTACTTTTGTGGGTAATTTACCATATTTATAAATTTTTTTACCACTATTGTTACGGTAATTATTTTTACCATTTTTTTTGGGTACCACAACAGTAATAAAGTACCCACAAGCATAATAAATTTTGTTATGATACAAAAATTCTATTTTGCAATATCATAGTCAAATCTCTTTTTTTTTTTTGAGAAAGATCTAAAAGATAACACAAAACCATTGCTTCACAATAACACATAAATGCGAGATGGTCATAGTAAATACCTCCGATATATTTTTCTCAATTTTTGTTAAAGAACGTAAATTTAAGTGCGATTGATTATACATAAATAGACCTCTTTAGCGAAACATGGTTGCTGGTCGGTGATCTATCAAAGAGTAAGATAGAAAAAAAAATATTAGATAGAATCTGAACCAAAAATTTACAGTATTCTCCTAATAAATTCATCATGTCTTATAATATTGACTTTTGGCTTTTCAAATAAAAACCTCTATGAAAAAGTCTCAATGGTCAAAAGCACGATGATTAACCTCTACGGAAAAGTCGACTTGTATTTTTAAATTAGTCAAAAAATGAGATAATTTTTTAAACTTATTTTAAAAAATGAGTCTAATTTAAATTTGTAAAACTCGAGTTATTTATATATATATAATAGTCAAGTTATTTAACTTTAATTTATTTTTTAAACTGTGGAAAAAAATAAAATCAAGAGATTTTCGCGATAACCAGCCGCAAAACCTTACTATTTCTATTTGGACCTTTGGATTTTTTATTTGACTCAAATTGAAAAGTCATGTTTGAATGCCCTTTTTAATATCCTTAATTACTTGTATGCCAATTCAACACACATCAAATCCATTGTCCTATGATGGCCCATCGTACAAGAGTATGCCATTTGACCCAGTTGGCAGATCATGACNAATTGAAAAGTCATGTTTGAATGCCCTTTTTAATATCCTTAATTACTTTGTATGCCAATTCAACACACATCAAATCCATTGTTCTATGATGGCCCATCGTACAAGAGTATGCCATTTGACCCAGTTGGCAGATCATGACCTTCACTCACTCGCTCACCGTAGGAATTGCTGTCACATCATTTTAGTTTTAAATTTGATTCTAAAATCTGACCAATCTAACATTATTATTTCTTAATAAAGGCATAGCCACTCCCTTAGCTGGGTGACAAGGGAACATAAGTTTCATAGTGAGCAGTACATCATTTGGTCACGACACATTGAAGTATTTATTCTTCAATAAGGTCGATATATTTATATTAAATATCGTNCGTATCGTTTTAGTTTTAAATTTGATTGATCTAACATTACTATTTCTAAATAAAGGCATAGCCACTCCCTTAGCTGGGTGACAAGGGAACATAAGTTTCATAGTGAGCAGTACATCATTTGGTCATGACACATTGAAGTATTTATTCTTCAATAAGGTCGATATATTTATATTAAATATCGTATTAAATATAATATTTGAGAATGCATTTAATCTACACCAAGCATCAACAAAATTTTATTTGAGTTTGAAGGCACGATTTTTTTAAAATATTACTTACTACTATATGTTAAAAAAGTATAAAAAATAAATAAATTAATTACACTATAATCTTATAAAAAAAAGTAAACAAACCAAATAATTAAATGTTGTTTCTGATTCCTTTAATTGGTCACGTTTACTTTATAAATATATCATAATGAGACAATATTAAATCTTTTTTAAGATAAAAATTACTAATTTTTCTTACTATTGTTAAATAATTGTTAAAAATTATAATATTTAAGTCGNCGATATTAAATCTTTTTAAAGATAAAAATTACTAATTTTTCTTACTATTGTTAAATAATTGTTAAAAATTATAATATTTAAGTCGTTAAATAATAATAAAATATAAAATATTGACATATCTGTATCATATCGTCCTCATATTATGTATCTGTATCTATATTTCCGAAGTCATGGCCAACTGATCTTCATTGTCCTTAGCAGCCATTTAAGGGTAAGACTATAGTATTAAAAAACAATTGTTTTTTTGATATTGTACTAAATTTTATTACAAAATGAATGTAAAATTATAATGAAATCTAATAACAATACAAAAAAAATATTATTTGAAATCAGTCTTAACATTTATGATAAACCTAGCTCTAATTTTTTTTTTTTTTCCTTTTTCGTGAAATGACTCCATTGATCTAGAGTTGAAGATTATTCTCAAATTATTACACCTTTTCATTAGTAAATGTACATAAAACACTTATCAAACTTGTCAAATTTTAAAAATGACTAGAATTAACAGTTTTTATCAAGTTTTACGAGTCACTATTTATACACTTGTTTAAGTCCGTCTAAACCTCGGACTTGACTACAATATTGAAAAAAAAAAATTTGGTATTATATTAAAATTTATTATATTTATGAATATTTTTATCATTAATTTTAGTACCATGACAGTGATAAAAAATAATAATAAAAACACTTATAAAAATTATAAATCACCCGTAAAAATAATAAATATTTTAATCATAACAGAACTCATTAAAATTATAAAAATATTATTTAAAATAATAAATTTTAGAGATACAATACTGAATTTTTTTTTATTGATATAATAGTCAAGTCGGTAAGCCTTTTATTCTCATCCTTTCAAATCAAAACCTTCAATTCAACACAAGTCATCAAAAGTCAAAACACGTAATAATTTAGATTAGTACAATTGTTAGGCCGATCAATCTAGACAAAGGACGATCCACTGTGTACCCATCGGACCAGTTGTAAATGGATCTTTTAATGGTATATGGGCTGGACAGACAAAAGCACCACAAATCTAATTTCTGGGCTAATGGGTCGTTCATTAACCTCCATTGATGGTCCAGTCCGGCCCATATCTCAATGAGGCATCGATCTTTGGACCCAACTCATGGGCGGGCCGGGGCCCTTCGTTCTTCTCAGAGCTCTAAAACGACGCCGTTGTTATAGTCGGCGCACATAATTTGAGCCATCTGTAATTCTACACAAAAACAAATCTCGCCCTTTTGCCATTCGTTTTCCTTCGATTTCTCCTTCACTGGAACACCAGATTCTCGGTACGTTCGAAAACCCTAGAACTCAAAACCCTAACTTTTTCTTCAAAAATTTACTCCGATTCATATATACTCACTGATACACAGCGTACATAGACATACACATATATATATATATATATGCCTGAATATTGTGTGTAGAGATGGGTAGTGTTGTTAAAGACGAAGGGTTGAAGAAATTAGAGTACTTATCATTGGTGTCGAAGGTTTGTACGGAGCTTGAGACTCATTTAGGGTTTGGAGATAAAATATTGGCTGAATTTATAACTGAGATTGGTCGGAATTGTGGGAATGTGGATGAATTTGATGAGAAATTGAAAGAGAATGGGGCTGAGATGCCTGATTATTTTGTACGGACGCTGTTGACTATAATTCATGCGATTTTGCCTCCCAAAGTTAAGTCCAAATCGGATAAGGACTCGAGAAGAGATGGTACTGAGAATAAGAAGTCGAGGTTTTCAGCTTTGAAGATTGACGATGGTAAAGATAGAGTGAAGGAGTTGGAGAGAGAAATTGAAAGGGAAGTAAAAGAGAGGCAGCGAAATGAAGAAAAAGAAGAAGTGAGAAGACATAGGCATGGCGATAGAGATAGAAGAGAGAGGCATAGAGATGATAGAAGGGAAAGACGTAGAGATAGGGAGGAAGATGATCGGGGTGATTATAAGAGTAGAGAAAGGCATAGGGATAGATATGAGAAAAATGGGAGAGATGGGTATGAAGATGGGAA